GAAGAAGTAATCGAAGCTGTAAATGGTTATTTTGAGGAGCTTGACGAATCAGTCTATAGAGATGGCATTAATAGACTGGAACACCGCTATGAGAAATGTATCAGCCTTGGAGGAGATTATGTTGAGAAATAAAAAAAAAAATTTTTTACAAACCTTGTTTTTCTTGGTCAGGCCGGAAACTTATCAATCCACCCTCGTATAATATTAGGACAAAAAACCTTATGTACAAACAGACGCTTTTGTAATAGTAGAATTTTCCGATAGGTTTGTTTACTTCTCATTATTTTAAAGTACATCAGGTGTCTTATTAGAATGTGTTTCTAACTCTACCACTTAAATTAAAAAATAAGTTGCACTAATTATATAAACTATCACGTTCATTTAACATGACACAGCCATGAAAATCAGCACCACACGAAAAGTAATAATAACGAACAGTGTAGCGCATTAGTAGAATAAATAAAATTAGTATTAGCAGAAATATGATTCGTTATAGTGAAAGGAAAAGCATGGTTCTTTGTACATTTTAGCCCAGTAACCGAAATGATTTATTCATATGAGGTAATGCGGTAATTGTAAGCTGTGTGGTTTTAAATATAGTAATAACAGAAATGATATCACTCAAGGAGATAATAAGGATGAGGTGTCTCTTTGAAGCGCCTGATGTTTTGAGACTAAAAATATGATTAAGTAGATCATTTATAAATAAGAAAGAAGAAGTGTTGTGAATATTATTCACAAGTTTAGTATGATTGATATTAATTGTCACAATTAATATCTCGTGACAACATTGTGATCAAATTCATTCATTAATAATTTGATTACGTATTGGTTTTATAATACGTCATCAAAAATGTTATTTTCAACTCAGTTGATTCGGTTTTAAAATCCTAAAATTCAAGTAGGTGTTCTATGCCTAAAATTCCAAACGTTCCTTAAAAATATAACTTCACCCAAGTGCTTTGGCAGTTTTGAAGAAATTAACCTCACAAGTATTGTCAAAACAACAGTTTCTTTTAACTTGACGCATATCGTATACAGGTGGTAATAATTATAACTAAATTGAAAAACTGTAATAAGCGTATTCTACATTTTGGTCGATCAAAATTCCGTGTGGATTAAACCCGCATTATGGGTATAGCATTATGAACTAATTTTATTATTTGTATCATGATAGTTGAAGGAAGGTAGCACATAAACAGTAGAATGGCGATGTTAACCAAAATGCAGGGCCGTCATTACGTGTATGGTAAACATTGCGAAATTCAGGGCTCATCACTGTGACCTAGATGGAATTTCCATATCTCAGAAACTATTGTAGTGTACTATAATTTGTCGCTAATTTATTAGGAAATCCAAAAATTTGTCGCTCCAGTTGATTACAGAAAAATAGACGAATTTATTAGACTGATGTCGAATTGGCAATACACATAGCGTATCTCGAAATAGAAATGGCGTAGAGAAATACATAAAGGGATATAATTTGTCACTCCGGTCCAACCCTGAGATCACTATAAATTATTGATAATTTGTGACCTAATCCAAAAATTTGTCATTCCAGCTGGTTACTGAAAAATAGACGAAATACAAGAATGATATCGAATTGGCACTACATATAGCGTATTTCCAAAGGGAAATGACGTAGATAATTGCTGCGAAGGCTATAACTTGTCGCTAATTTTACGCTGAAGATGCTACTTTTACCCATTTTGTCGTTAGATTACCTTCCAGCTGCCCAGCGCAAAATGACTGTAGAGCCGACAATCCGACCAAACATATCGTATCTGGAAATAAAAGTAACGTAGAGAGATATTGTAAGGGCTATGACTTATCGCTCCAGTCCAGCCTGGAGTTCACTATATCGTTAATTTATTAGGAAATCCAAAAATTTGTAGCTTCAGCTGGTTATTGACAAATAGGCGAAATACTAGTCTAATTTCGAATTGGCATTACACGTAGCGTATTTTGAAATAGAAAATATAATTTGTTGCTCGAGTCCAGTGAAAAACGATTGGAGATTTGTCAAGCTGGCACTTACTCATAGTGTATCTCGCATTATAACTATCGTAGAAAAATTAGCAATCATTATTTAATTCACTTTTCCACATTTGCTTATAAATTCATTAATTTTATTCTATTTATATTGTAATTTGAACAATGTTTGCTATTCTAATTATTTCCTGTGCGCAACATTTGAAAATGTTTTAGCACCTTACTTTTAATGAAAGCATGTGATTTTGGAAAATTTTAGCAGAGTGCATTTTTTTGTGCCCATCATTTCGTAACCTAATTATGTAGATAATACAAAATCTGGTATAGGTTTTTTATCGTTAATAAAGTAACATAAACACACTAATTAATAAATAAACAAACGGAACGGTTGATTGGCAGATACGAAAATAGAAAATGATTGGCATTTTCTAAACTATTCGTTTCACTTTTTATTATGGTAGTCGATTTTCCTGACTTTTTTATAAAAGACTTGAAAATACTTAAAAAAAATGAAACAAAAGGAACAAGCTTTTTTTAATTTTTATTCCATTTCATACTTTTCTACCATAAAAATAATGGATTCTTTTCGATTTCGGTTTTTGAATAAATACCTACTTCTATTTTTACTGGCTTAAATTCTAGTCTTTATCAATTTGTGAATTAACCCTAACATATACACATATTTAGTCATACTACGTATGTCTCATACCGTTAAGGAGCGTCTGTATTAAACGCATTGACTCGCTCGGTCGTTTTTTCGTCCACTTAAGTTGCATAATTAATCTCCACTAAAAGCTCATTTATTTTAATGGGATTATACGGCCTATATCCGCCCTGAATGTCTATTCGAAATATTGGCGAAAGAATATTTGAAATCGGATGGACAGTTTTGAATATTACCTCCTACATCCAAACTTAAGAAGTTATAAACTTTATACATATCTTTATAATATTAGTGTAGATAAAATTAATGTAAAAAAGGATATAACGTATTTAGCGACTTATGAATAATTTAAAAAATCAAAGGTAGTTATGCGGAATTAATGTAAATAAGACAGTCAACCCTAAAATTCCATGTACTGAACGTAAGACTATGATTGAGGATGACGGTGAGTGTCCAAACGTATCTTAAGGTTCGAAACGTAGTAATTTTGGGTTTTAATGTCTCATTTCGACTTGGATTTGGAAAAAAATATTAATTGTTCATTAGTTTCTATTTCTTTCCCTAGTCCAGTTATATAAGAAAGGTTCAGCTAATATATAGGGTTATAAATTTGTTATTCTTATAACACCCATCCGATGTTTTCTCAGTCAACTGACTTAAAAAACAATCTTGATAAAACCTCTCGTAACATTAGCGAAACGTTGCTTAGTTTTGTAAAAGTAAAACATTTTACTGCCCTGTATGTAAGTTTCACTTTTTCATATTAAAACATTATTTATTAATCAATTAAATTTTCTAAAGGTTCATAACAACAATAAGTGTGTTTGGGATGTGTATAATGAACCCTATAGACAACAATTAACCTGCACACACTTATGACCAAACTGTCGCAAGACACTGATTATTCTGTTCATAATTAATAAGTACATTGTAATTACTATACATCTCAGATTACGAGTCCTCTAGTGCAAAAAAAGAAGAAACGTCACATAACGTTTTGGATACGGAAAAAATTATATCTCGGAATTAAAAAAAAAATGGTCATTTTACTAATCTCTAAATTACGATACCCAATATTTTTATTTTGCTTCCTTTTTGTATTACTCTCTTTCATTCCCAATAACAGTGCCACTATACGTGTTGTTCCTTGTGAGACTTCATGTTGCAACTGACTAAAAGCTGCGATTTTGGTCGCGCGCACCGTTTTCACTTCCTGCGACTACGACTTTTTAGTCGTAACGACTGAAGATTCGCAGTGTGCTCTAAGCCTAAGACATAAAATTTAGACTTTGATGTAAGTTCAGAAATATGATATTTATCTCTAATCATTATGTCATCAGTCGTAAGACTGGTTGGATACGCACCTCCACTCCTTCCTATCCTATCTAGAGCTAATCTTCGCATTTCCCTAAAACTAGAACATCCCACATTTTTACCTATTTAACAACAGTAATCTAATCTAGGTCTACTTCTACTTTTCTTAACTCCTGTTTCTGCCTTTAACATATCTCTGACTAGACCTTCATGCCTGAGGAGGTCCTACCAACTTATCTCGCCTATTTTTATTGACTTCCATCTGTCCTCTGTTCTCCTATTCATTCTAATACCTCTTCATTTCTAACCATCTTTATCCACGGTATCCTCATCATTCGCCTGTAACACCACATTTCCAACGCTTTTAACAGCGCCGTGCTCCAAACATACACCTTTAACAATCTTTTTCGAATTTCTAAATTGATCATTTGCGAACATAGAAGTGACTTCTTTTTATTGAAAGCGACTCGACCCTGTGCTATCCTCTCTTTTATATCCCTATTACTCCTTCCGTACTGACTTATCTGACTTCCTAGATACCTAAAATCAGCCACTTCTTCTAATTTTTCGTCTCCTATCTTTATATTCGCTCTTTCCCTAGTTTTTCTTCCCTTGCATACCAGTATTTTAGTTTAACTTTTATTTATTTTCATACAGTACTGTACTGTTTAATCACTAATTTCTTGCTTATTAGTATTTTTTCCGTCCTCATAAAATCACCTTTAAAAACAATGTGATATCTTACTGTAATGTATAAGTATTAGTTCCTCCATAAAGATACGTAGAAGCTCTGTTATACTTAATTAACCACACAGTATGTGCATATATTTGGTGCTGATAAGGACAAAATTCACAAACACGAAAAACCCATGGAAAAATAATGTGTTTTTTGCATCGCAGGAAAATAAAAGGAATACAACACCGTTTTGGGAAATGATAGTTACAAGAAAGGCTCCAAAATGAATTATCACTCAGCGGTTGCCAAATTCTTCCGCAAAGAGAAGAATATTAAGAAAAAGCCGTCGATGATGTCAATTTCTGAAAACGAATTTCAGGTGCATATTTAATTTGTTTTACGTGGTGTTTCAAAAGAGACTTTTGTGTATTCTTTCAAACATTCTCTACTTAAAGGTGCTAAAATTTAATTATTCATTAGTTATTAATGCAAGTGTGGTAATTCTAGAACGATCATATTTTAGCTATTTTCTGATACATTCTGTATATAATGTATACCACAACTCATAGTTTTGAAACATTTTGTATTTTTTGGGTTTATCTATAAAGGTGGCTTCCCACAGGCCTGATTTCGCGCCGCGGACAAAAACAGGTGAGCACGGATTGGGCTTCGCCGCGCGTGAGCACTTCCCTTGACCTGTACAAGCCTGTTCTTCATGGGTTTGCATTAATTTATGGGTCGGTTTAGTATTATTAAAATGTGGCTGCAACTTTTGTTTTGTTTAGTGCTTCATATTTTACTCAGCAATAAAAATAAGAATACGAAACGTTGGGATGTCATTATTAAATAAAAACCGATTACACTAAAGTTATACCAAATTTTGAGTGAAGGAATAGATATTTCCGTTTTTTGAACGCCACAGAGCGGATTCTCTCTCAAATTAACTTAAAAACTCAAAAATTGAGTCATTAGGCCGTATTTATAAAAATAAAGCATTTGCTTTCAAGTAAAAGGTTTTGCTACAATTCGTATTCATAATATATACATTTTCCTTGCAAGGAGTAATAAAGTGAAAGGTACAGATTAGTCCCTATCGATTTCGACAAACTAGCTGAAATTTGCAGTGTGCAGTCAACGTATGTGCTCCGTGCCAGCTATTTATTTTATTTGTTTAATACATCTCTGATTTACTTGTTCAGAGTTAAAAGTTAAAAAATTTAAAGTGGTTCGCACAATAACGCAGAATTTCTTCATTTTCTGCACAGGCCATACGGCTGCTCCACGGCTGGGATACGCGCCCAGAAAGTGGTCCGTCAACCACATGACATTCTCCTCCTCAAATCTAAATAACGTTTTAAAATCTGATTCTCGTGGTGTAGATACGTCTTGGTTTGTAGTATTTTCTTGTACGTAAATGCACCAAATCAACCATAACAAGCACAACACTGGGACCACATAACTAAGATTACTTATACAAGTCCTTTTAGATAGACTTTTATACAAAAACAGTCCTACAAATATATAAATTTTTACGTTAGAAGCCGTGTGATGCCTGGGCAGCTACTAAAAAGTTGAAAAGAGCGAAAAAAGTTGTTGTGAACCTAGAATTCTTTTTTTAAAAGAAAATCCTTTAGTTTCTGAATAGATGCATCTTTTTATAAATACAAATTATGTAAAACATTTTACTTTAAAGTAAACCCTCGAAGCAAACCTATTTCTTCGCCTTTTTTATGCATATATCGTAAAGGAATTACTTCAATTTTTGNGTGTTGTGGCGATTTGATAGTTTTTAAGAAAGTAATTAATTTTTTAGAGTAAGGTATTGAGTGTGTGGTTGTATATATTTTTTGGTATGTCTGTGATGCATGTATTTGTGTGTTTGGAATTTCTGTATTATTGTATTATTATTGTGTAAATATTCTTTTCTTATAATTCTATTTTTATACTTACTCTATTCTATACCTACTCTATACCTATTCTTCAGCTAAACGACTATTTAATTGCCTACGTACTTTGCTATCATCCCTTTTAACAATTCAACTCTGTATACTAACTGCATGACGTCTATAATTCTTACTTTTCCTAATTGCAGTTTTATGGTCAGTTTCTTCGGTGATTTGGGGTCAAACTTAATTTCTAGGTATTTCTTCTAAACTAAATTTCCAGGTTTTACTACCATCTTATTGGTTCCCTACTTTAATTAACTTATTTCTAACTCCTCCTTATCACCCTTCTTACGATCTCTTTTTCAAAAACTAAAATCAGTTCTGACTTATCCTTCCTAATTTCAACTTCACCATTCTACATTCTTAATTCTAGTCTTCATTTTTTTGTTCTTGTTTATTAAAGTTGTTATCGTATTCTGCGTTCTATTATTTAACCACCTCAACATCAGGACACACAACGAGACTAAATAGTTATTGATTTAGATTTTAAAACGGACAATTCAAGAGAAGAATGAAGAACTGAAACTCAAAGAAGATACTATATTTAAGTTGAAACAGGAATTGGAAGATAAAGAAGCCACTATTAAGTATCTCCAAAATGAAATTGATAAGTTTAGACAAGTGGTAAAGCCTATCACGAAACAGATAATCACCAAGAAATTGACGTTACAAGACGACGAGGAAGATACAGATTCTGATAACGAAAAACCAGCGTTGCCAGCTACTGTTGGTCAAGAAAGACAAAAAAGACAAGCCATCAGCGCAGAACCACTAAACGGTCACGAAAATTTATCTAAAATATTAAAAATTCCTAAATCAGTCAAGTAAGTTACGTTTAACAATAGAATATTAATCTAATCGTAATGCAACGAATTTTCTAGTAATTTATTTATTCATTTAAACAGTTATTTTATGACGATAGATAATTTACACAGGGATACTAACTAGACACTTAAACTATTGCTTATTTATTTCATTCTATGTATAAAGGCTTACTTATTTGTCACCCTGTATGCACTTTTATATTCGCACTGTATATATTAGATTGTCCATATATCGACTGACTTCGTTTTCCGCCTAAGAGCCTAAATGCATATTGTAAAGGGCCCTTTCCGGAATGCTAGAAAACTTTCGAAATCCTTTTGTTACGCGGTCGTTTATGTGTCGTTCACGTATACTCAATTACCTCGACGCGAGCCACTCTTACTTTCGGCATCTTTAGTGAAAGGGTTGCATCCTTTAATCATAGCCCATGGCGCTTACATTGGCAAGCTATGTAGAATAAGCCGTCGGTAATCGATATATGAATTTTATCTAAGGGGTCAGTTTGAAAAGACGAACTGAACAATAAATAGGAATTTAAACTAATGAGGGCTACACATTTTACTTCACTTTATCGTGTGTCGTACTTTAATACTCCTAGTAAAAATTATTTTTATTTAGTTGAGTAGAATTTGTTAGGGAATTTTGTCTTCCTAATTTGACCCATGTAAAAAAGCTGCAGGTAATTCCAAATGACAAATGTAACAAAATTGGTTTACTTAAATACAAAGAGCAATGTATTATTTTCATAGGTATTTGTCAGAACATTGGCGGTTTTTAATCACTGTTACTATCGGCCTTGTTCTATTTTAAAGTCCTATTTAAATTTTTTATCACTCATTTTAAACGCGCCATTATTCCATATAACTACCGCCGCTTATTATGTGGTAAGTGACTCATTTGATTAAGAGTTGAAACAGAATCATTGAATTTGTAATGAACGGTTTTGTAATTGTAATCGAACGTATGCAGATATTGGACCAGAAATAGAAATATTTTGCTACTATTTGACTTTTAAAGTGGCATCTTAAATATGGTAAATTGTTGCAGTGTTCAGGGTCATATTTCATCATTATCATAAGGTTGTCAGTCCTAAGAGTGGTTGGACATACACTTTGACTCTTTCCTATCCTAAGTCAATATGCGCATTTCCCCAAAAGTAAAACATCCTACATCCTTAACTATTTCCTAATAGTAATCTACCTCTATTAATCTTCCTCTAATATGTCTCTGACTAGTCTATCTCGCCTATTTCTTATTGACTTCCATAGAGTCTTGTATTCTCATATTCTTTCTTTTTTTTGCATAATAGTATTTTTTTTTTACTTTTATTTATCTTCATATAAAACAGTTTTGTCAACACCGCTTCCATTTTATTTAAAGCTATCTCTAACTCCTTGCTTGTTGCTAATACTGCTATATTATCTGCAAATCTACAGCTATACTGTCATTAATGATGTTGATCCCGTCTTCTTATTGATTAAAAGGTCCCTTTAGGGTTCTTCTCTTTTCTCTATTCTTTTAACGTTTCACTAATTTTCCTTTTTGTCTTTCTTTTTTCCCTCGTTAAATCTTCTTTTATATATGTATACAGTAGTTCCTTTTTCTGCTGTTTATTAAAACTTCCATTTTTTCTTATATACTCGCAGTCCTCACTTCATACACCCTTTCCTTCGCTTTCAAGGGTTCAAATTGTTATTCACCACTTTTTCTTCTATTAATCTTTTAATTCTATAGGGTTGTTCGGAAAGTCATTTCATTTTTTTTGTGGAAATGAAAGACAGTTTTCGTATAATAAACAAATACTTTATTAAATTATATATTGACCGTTCTGGTCCAACACCTTTTGCCATCTTTCTGGTAGTAGCATAATTCCACGCTCATAAAATTTTTGGTCTTTGCTGGCAAGAAACTGATCGAGGAGGTTTTTGACCTCCTCATTTGAGGTGAAGGTTTTACCGTCTAAAAAATTTTGGAGTGACCGGAACAAATAATAATCCGATGGTGCCAGGTCTGGAGAATATGTTGGGTGTAGCATTGTATCCCATTCAAGCTGTAAAAGCTTTTGGCGAGTGACCAAACTTGTGTGAGGTCTCGCGTTGTCTTGGTGAAACACTACACCTTTCCTGTTGATTAGTTCTGACCTGTTCTGTTGAAGTGCATCATTCAGTTTGTCCAGCTGATGACAGTAGACTTCCGAATTAATCGTTGTGTTATCCGGTAAAAGATCAAAAAAAACGATTCCTTTAAAATCCAGCCAAACAGACAGCATCACCTTTTTTTGGTGAATATCGGCTTTGGAAATGGTTTGAGCCGGTTCATCTTTTTTGCACCATGACCTCTTGCGTTTGACGTTGTTGTATACAACCCATTTTTCGTCCCACAGTGATGATGCGCTTCAAAAACGGATCATTTTCGTGACGTTTGAGAAGCGAATCGCAGACGTCAATGCGGCGACACAGATTTCTCTCTGCGAGAACATGGGGGACCCATACATCGAGCTTCGAGGATAAACCCAGGCCTTTCAAGTGGTCATGAACTGTTGAATTTGATAAATTTAACCTCAATCCGATCTCACGTGTTTTTATTCGCCGGTTCACATCAACTAATGCCATTATCGCGTCTTTATCAGCTTCAACCGGCCTTCCCGAACGTGGTGCATCTTCGACATCAAAATTGCCGGATCGAAATTTAGCGAACCAGTTCTGGCACTGGCGTACTGTCAACACACCTTCTCCATACACATCAGTCAATTTCTTTTTGGCTTGAACACCATTTTTACCCTTTCTGTAGTAAAACAGTAAGATATGTCGAAAATGCTGCTTATCGCTCTCCATATTTAAAAGGGCACCAACCAAAAACTACTGCGTAGAATTAATTGGAATTTTTCACACACAAGCCTTGCTATATGAGCTCTCAAACCATATAAAAATTATACGGCTTAAATGTGAAGTTGGGTGCAAAAGAATACAATTAAATCCTCTGTCGGGACAAAACGAAATGACTTTCAGAACAACCATATAATTTACCATCCCTGTCGTACGTGTATCTCGATCTCGACTAATATTAGCATCTACAAAGTTAATTTTTTCGCTACAAAGTTAAGATCAATTACTCCTATGTTTGGATGAGGGGGTTGATACACCTAATATACTTCTTCTTCTCTGTAATTCCCTCTCAATTACCGTTATTGGGTGCCCAATGCATCTGTTCAATTGTGAAGGCCTTATCCTTTTTCGTAGTGATCGTACGGGTTTCGTTTTAGTTCCTTTTTCATTTTCTATACATTGTTCATTACTTTTGCTATCTATATCTATACGTTGCAATAAATATATTTTTTCCTTTTTAAAATAGTAAAATTTATTTTATTTCTCATAAAAATTGATGAGTTTCTAAACGTATAAGACTTTTAAGATTTACAGGTACAGTAAGGGTAAGTTCCGAAAGATAATAATTTGGAGACAATAGCCTTAATTCTTGTGGCATTATTTTTTTGAATAAATACGAACCGTAGTTTCTAGAGGGTTATGAAAGAAAGAAAGAAAAGTTTAGTTGTTTTTCTTTGGTTGACTATTTCGGTAATTTTTCACATAAGATGCACTCTCGCGTATCGCAGTGGTAGAGCCAATTATCAATTTCAGCGAACTGGCAGCTTCTCAACTAAAGGACGAAGAATTGACGAAACTTCTACAGGGATCACCCAGTGGACTCCAGTTAAAGCTCGTCGAAATTCCAGGCTCAAAAATATCCTTGTACTGTGATGTGTCTACATCTACAGCACGTCCCTTCGTGACATCACTATTTAGGCGTGCTATTTTTGACAAGTTGCATGGTCTCTCTCACCCTGGAATAAACGCGTCCGTCAAACTGGTATCCCAGCGTTTCGTATGGCCCTCGATCAAAAAGGATTGCCGAACATGGTCCCGAAATTGTTTGGAATGTCAACGCGCCAAAGTAACTCGCCATGTGTCATCTCCTCCTGGAACCTTTGTCCTGCCGTCGAATAGGTTTGAGCACGTACACATAGATATCGTCGTGATGCCAATTTCCGAAGGCTACAGATATTGTTTAACATGTGTGGACCGATTTTCCCGTTGGCCAGAAGCAATACCAATCGAGAACCAAGAAGCCGAGACAGTAGCCCGTGCCTTCTTCAGTAATTGGGTTTCAAGATTTGGCACCCCACTGCGAATAACTACCGACCAAGGCCGACAGTTCGAGTCACATCTATTTAGGCGATTAAATAACCTATTAGGTGTAACTCATTATCGAACAACCGCGTATCACCCGGCAGCCAATGGAATGGTGGAAAGGTTTCACAGGCAACTAAAGGCGGCAATCAAATGTCACGGGAATCCTTCCTGGACCGAAACCCTCCCCGCAGTTATGCTTGGTATCCGAGCAGCATGGAAGGATGATCTTCAAAGTACAATCGCTGAGATGGTCTATGGAGAACCGCTACGTTTACCAGGAGAGTTCATTACAGCATCACAGGAACCCGACGCCAATACTCAAGCCGACTTTGTCCAGAATTTGCGCCGNAGGGTTATGAAAGAAAGAAAGAAAAGTTTAGTTGTTTTTCTTTGGTTGACTATTTCGGTAATTTTTCACATAACTTAATATGATGATAATAATAATATTGCTTAAAATTAATGTAATATTTTTTTAGTTATTAATATTAATTAAAATTTTCTTTTTCAGATCAAGAGAGTTGATAAAGGCAGCAATTCTGGATAATGATTTCATGAAAAATTTGGAGTTGACCCAAATACGTGAAATCGTGGATTGCATGTACCCGGAAGCATACAAGGCAGGGAGCATCATAATCAGAGAGGGCGATGTCGGAAGTATCGTCTACGTTTTAGAAGGTAAGAATTGAAAAACGTTTTGTTAATGTTTATTTACATAGGTAGCGCTTAATGTTGAATTAATTAATTGTGTATACTATACCGAATGAAGGTGTATTGTTGGTTATCTAACCTTATACTCTGAAACTTCTAAAATTCATTTTAGCATTCGTGTTTATTTCTGTTTGTAAGTATAAATAATTTCGGTCGTAAAACATACATTAGTATTTTTATGGTTCTTAAGCTTATTATTATGGGTGTTATAAAGGCTTATTAAATTCCCATATTATCTGCAAATCTACAGCTATACTGTCATTAATGATGTTGATCCCGTCTTCTTATTGATTAAAAGGTCCCTTTAGGGTTCTTCTCTTTTCTCTATTCTTTTAACGTTTCACTAATTTTCCTTTTTGTCTTTCTTTTTTCCCTCGTTAAATCTTCTTTTATATATGTATACAGTAGTTCCTTTTTCTGCTGTTTATTAAAACTTCCATTTTTTCTTATATACTCGCAGTCCTCACTTCATACACCCTTTCCTTCGCTTTCAAGGGTTCAAATTGTTATTCACCACTTTTTCTTCTATTAATCTTTTAATTCTATAGGGTTGTTCGGAAAGTCATTTCGTTTTTTTTTGTGGAAATGAAAGACAGTTTTCGTATAATAAACAAATACTTTATTAAATTATACATTGACCGTTCTGGTCCAACACCTTTTGCCATCTTTCTGGTAGTAGCATAATTCCACGCTCATAAAATTTTTGGTCTTTGCTGGCAAAAAACTGATCGAGGAGGTTTTTGACCTCCTCATTTGAGGTGAAGGTTTTACCGTCTAAAAAATTTTGGAG